GAGATAGGGAACAAACCTCCCGGTCGCTTACAAGATTTCACGAGGCAGAATAGAAAGGTTGCTCACACTTTAAGCACGTCTGGTGGTTCATGCTGCGGCCTGCATGTAACCTTTACGAACGTTTGCAGTCTTATGAAGAAGCGCAATAAACTCTGTCGTTTCGTTGCATCTGAGTGACCAGACGTAGTGAGAATCGCAAAGATGTGACTAAATTCTGAGGTGATCGCCAGGGAAATCGAGCTCAGCAACTCCTTGTACTTTTGCTGCAATAGACTACTGACTGGTCGCGGGGGCGTCTTGCTCTACATTCAGTCTGCTCTGTCGGAGAGTTGTGAGCGTCTAAAGAAGTGACGATGATCTGTGTGAGTAGCCGTGATGCTCGACCCACATCAATCAAAGAGAGCACCTCGTAGGTGCAATTAATCATCATCTCCTGGGCCGTTGTCGATTTGGCTGCCGCATCTACGAAGCCAAATGAGTCGTCTCCATTTTCTAACCATGGGTGATTTATGTTGTTCCCGAGTATGCTGGCCTGAAGTCCAAATCATGCCCGGGCATTATGAGGTCGAAGAAAGTTCATGGATCAGCGCAACAGGTACGCCGGCCGACATGTAACACGACGAACTCAACTCCGTTGTGCCTTGACTTATTGTTAACAAGCTGTGAACAACGCGTGCATGAGGTTCAGATACTGAAGTCCCTAACAATAAGCGACCAGTCAGTGCTCATCGCCAGCATGGGACTACCTTTATCGTATTCCAGTCTACTGCGATCAGCTTACAACAAGTACTGGATAACTGAATTCGACGGTCTAACTAGAACCGCGAAGCAAGTGGACTGGTCTCTGTCATAAGTTGCATCTGTGGAAGATTGGTGGACTGGTATAGTGGCGCACTTTGCTTCCGTGTTTGCAAATGACCAGGTGTCTGTTGTGAGTCCGATGTACACCTTTCTTACCAAAATCGACAATCTGGAGTGCGGTGTTGAAGAGGTGCGCCAACTACTCGGCAGCCATGATAGTACCAAGACTTTCGGATCTAACGCGTTCCACCATCTGACGCTCAAGTCCCTATAGGTCAACTTCTCACCTACAGTGACTGACTTGTTAAACAGTTCGCTGTCAGAAAATTCATTGTCGTGCTAGTGTAAATGCTCAGTGCTGAGCTTTAGTAGGTAATAAAGCCGATTCCGAAAAGCGGTGACACAGCGAAGTGGACAACTACAGGCCAATTTGTCTGACACCTAGATTGCCAAGATCGTGGAAAAGGGTCTACTACAGCTACGCAAATAAAGAGGTACAGACGTTTGCATAGCACTTTCAAGCTAGGTTTCTCATGAATTACCAACTTGTTTGTGACGACGCATGAGTGGTTGCAGAAAGTGAACCAAGGGAAGCTTGTCGATATGGTCTATATCGGCACCAGCAAATCATGCCGTCATCCTCCACAAGCTAGTAGTGCGCGGTTAGTGGACCGCTGCACCAGTGGATTGGAGTGTTTCTCGTTGGACGAAAATGAAGGGTACAGGTCCACAGTCATCTAAGTGACTGGTATCTCTCTACTAGTGGTGTACCCAAGACATGATGGTGGGACCCACTCGGTTTTAATGAACAGCAACGACCTAGCTCAGCTTCATCAGTCGCCGTGTACACTGTTTGCGGACGACGGAAGATGTTGAGAGTGATTAGCAGCCCCAACGACCGTGGCCTACTTCAACAAGACCTCAGTCACCTCTCCATGAGGCCTGCAGATGTCAATCTGCGCATCAATTCCGTCAGGTCGTTATGTATGCCCCTGGGGAAGGGTAGTGACGGCCGAACTTACACTTTGACAGGCAAGCGCTACATCCCACGTCGCCCGTGAAGGACCTAGACCGATTCTCACGCTGCGATTTGAAATCCATGAACAACACGGGCACGCCGACTGCGCGTGCTCCGAGCGCTCAAACGCAGCTCCTGCATCTGGTTTGAGGAGGCTGCCACTCGCCTCTTCTCCACCATCTTAAGAGTACGACTCACCCGCCTACTATCCAATCACCCGAAGCGAGGCACAGGAGATCGAACCGATCATTCATTCCGAGTTCTCCAGGGTCGACGTACGAAGACCGGTGTGAGAAAGCAGGACTCCACACCTTGTCTTTCGTCGGTTGAGAGTCCGTCACAGTGTGACTTGTCACATATTACATCTGGGAGACTATCCCATGTTAAGGCGACTGCTTCACTTGCGAACGCCATGCAACCCACCCGAACACCGGTACAAACTTGTGCTGCTGGATATGAAGCGAGTTTCCTCCACTATACGTCGGACGGAGTGGTAAATGTTTGGAACAGTCTGCCAGAACATGTCATGGAAGCCAAATATTTGTAGCCTTTGAAAACTTCGTTGGATTCACGTTACACCCCCATTCTATTCAGAGAATGAGTGCACAGTGGCATTTACAACTGACAGTTGTGAGCTCAGTGATACTGTAAGACATTTTTAAATGCTACAGAAAAACATGAAGAAAGATTAGAGTATCAATAGGCGACAGGTAGTTGAGCACATAATGACTGAGTTGTACAGGCTAAATTTTATTTACTCCCACAATGCAGTATCCACGACTGGTGATAAGGAGGAGCGTCCATCTAGCTATTAAGCACATAGATTTATATTTTCAAGTGAGTTGCAATGGATGTGTCCCCCGAACACCTCCAATCACGAAGTGAATGTCACGTTTCTGGATGATCGTGCCCTATTCACGAACGTCAGTCATTTGATAAGAAGATTTCATTTCACCCTTTCCCTCGCCGACGATCCGACTGAACACAATCGCAAGTGCGGCGTCATGCTTATAAATTCAAGTAACAGCTACATTGAGTGGCGGCATCCGTGTCCGGATTTGCCTGTCACTGTGGCCTCCACGGAGACAGACAGAGGACGCCTGCGCCTACAGAGGCACCATGGGTGACTTGTGCTGCACTACCCAAAATGCTACCCAGATACCCCATATCCGGTGTAAATCCGAAAGAATAAGACCGGAAGGAATGCGGATGGAAGTTATGTTTCATCAACGGAGCTGGCCCACACTCCTTCAACAAACAGAAGCATTCCTGTCTAACTGGGAAATCATGCATACTAGACATAGACAAGACGATGGCTGGGCCATAGCCCACTCCACACAGGATGGAACCACACTTTAAACCTAGCACGGCCACAAGGACAGTGCACCCCGTCCCCTCTAGCAACGACCAACTGTCGCCTGGAGCCAGTATGGACGAGGTTGTGGGTAATATACAGGTAGGCACCTTGTCAACATTAGCCTCAAGCGTAGCCACACCAGGGATGTCAAACAACAGCCAAACTCTTAAAAAGACATTATCAAATCAAATATATATGTATATGTATAAATATATGTTAAAGCATACGGCCACGCCGATATAACCTCGTAAAATTGGTATATGAAGTACATTGGTTAGCAAGGAATCCGCGACAGGTACAGAATGTCCACAAGTTACCCAAAAATGCTACAAACGCAATAAAGTTAACGGAGATAACCACAGTTAGTGTAAGCAACGTGTGCAAGTTAATAGAAGATTATTCGGGTGGGCAGAACGAACCAAATAAAGCGGAATGAAATTTATCCAGCTTAAAAAGACGTAGTTCGAGTGTAAACAGCAGCTACATACATTTATGCGTACCTACATACATACTACATAGATCCAGTATAAAGTAAAAGTAAATCGCCAGCTGTACGCCGTGACGGTGTTTTGCTGCCACGCGACGACTACCAGTCGCGCGAGGGCTGAGTATACCGCGAGGACGCCCACTTCTACGCGGATTCGAATCGGTGACCTGATAGTTCCAAACCACTTGGCCACCGGCCGATCGTTAGTGTATGCATCACGTTATCATGCTTTTATAGGCGCGTCTCGCGTTGTCGATAACAAAAAGTTAATTTATTTATAAGCAATGATTTTTGCGTCAACCTGATATAGCCACCAAAAGTGAAGTGAAGGTCAACGATAGCGGACTATGTGTTCTCCTCCTCCGATTCATATCAGTGTAAAGACAGTGTGCATGCTTAAGCACATCCAGCTCAGTTTGCTGTAGTAGAGTCGATGGCATAAGCACTAGTGAGACTATTGTTTCAAGTGACCTTGAAAACCAGTGAAAAGGTATGTACCAAAATAGTAGCTCTGTGCTCCGACATCTACTTAAATAACCGCTGGTACGACCTTGGAAAACAACAGCAATATTTTTTAGCTTATACTGGCATCAGCAGTCCGCCGGTACGCAATACTGACGCTTCGCTGCCGCACAATTCTCACCAGTCGCGTGGGGCTTAGGATACTGCGAGGATCGCCCGGTCCCCTACAATGGCTCGAACCCGCGACCTCAGGGGAACAAAGCAAGCTTATGATTCTTAAGGCCACGGGCCGATCTGACTGAGAGAGAACTAGTCAATCAATTGGCAATAGCCTTTTGTTACAACAGTATGAACTGGTGTAATCCAGCTCACAGGCTGTATGGTTGTGAATCATAATGCAAGCGAGTCGTAGAGACTTGGCGATTATCAGGCTTGTTAAACTAGTCTGAAAAGCAGACACAAATACGAGTTTTGCGACCCTGTAAGGTTAACGAACGTAGGGAGAAGTACGCCAGGATTGTTTAAAAAACGGGCATAGTAAGAGAAATTGTGTGTAGATATACCAAATGGTTGTCGAAGTGGTAAATACAAACTGAAACAGTGGCCGTGAATGGTGGCAAATATGATCAAGCGGCAGGAACATCCGTGCAACCAAACAGGTGTCAGACTAAGACATCAACTTCGCAAGACACCAAGTTCGTCCTGAATGAAAGATAACTATTAGATACCTGGTATCAAAAGTGAGACATTGCCGCCGAGTTGCAAACAACCATACGGACTAAGTCCATCTGGAGAAGATTGAAGGGACGCTACCCTGGCAATTGTAGGTTAGTTAGATATACCCGTTAAACCGATTTGTAAGAAATGCGATGAGCCTGAGAAAACAAGTTAGACTATTACATCATATGTATAAATAGAAACAGATGTATTGTTGTGTACAAGTAAGTGCCAACAGAGTAGTCCACCTCACGTCATGGTGGCTTTTCTCCAAAGGACACGTTCGCGTAGCTGTTGTAGCCATTCTCCATTCATCGGACGATGATCCACTAATATTGGACGAATCGGTTTTTCGGGGTCCACAGACTCCTGAACACTGAGAGACGTTGCCGGCGGCGGTCGAATATCGAACAGACCGGAGAGATTGGAAAGACGATACTGAAAGCTGTTGAGTGCTGAACGAAGACGATGTCGATGCCTCTGAGCCTAAAGGGGACAAACAACAATTAATGAGGGTAGGCAGCACCAAGGTGACATATATAAGAGGATGAGTGCCTGGATTAAATTGGTACAACTTTACAGCTTATCAGTAGATATGTTTAATGGAACGTCTTCGGCCGATCTCTTGAACGACCACAATACACGTCAACGTGATGACTTGGAAAGACGAATTCGGCTTAATTTACTGTTCACTACGAAAAGAAACAAAGTTGATACATTTGGAAAAGTTATATTTTATCAACAATGGACACTTAAAAGCAGTAAGGGCTACCAAGGAAAATCAAATTTGTTAATTCACCGGAAAAAGTGCATTAGTAGACCTATCACACTAGTTTTAAGTTGCAACAAGCGGCCGAGGTGTAAAATGAGGAAGTTTCACGCAGACGAAGAGAATGATTACAGGCAAGGTGTGAACGTATCAAACATTTTGAACGTGGATACCCAAGTATAATGCGAGCAAATCCGTGTGCCACAGAGGAGGGAAAAACGACAGTTGTACTTCGCAATGGTGTTTCGCTGCTAACCAACAGCCACAATTATCCCACTATTCATAAACAAGGGATAAAGAAATGCTATATTCCTCGATGGTGCGAAAAGCTGTTCCCTGAAAAGAACAGAACAAAGATTGTTACATCCTTTTCATGCTATTGCGTTTTTCAAAATAAATTGGGCACAAATTTAAAATCTAGTTAACACGAGGTAAGGGGGAATGCAAAAATTCAGGATGAAGGCGCCTACGCCTTAGTAACAACGCACCGCTACAACGCATAGCCCGCTATCGTGTGAGAACAAGGCGATAGCACTGCTGGCAATAATTACACACCACAGACAACTTGGCGTCAAACAGAATCTATACTGGTGATCGGACTAGGAGACTATTGCGAGCAGACGTTCAACGCTGACAACGACCTGTAGTGTATAAAGCCAAACGCAAGGTACGTCATGCTGACTCCGGTCTGCAAAACATGATTGACAAGCAGTACCCAAACCAGCCGTTTGTGAATCCAATTCATCCCACCTACTCAACATCTGTCCCAAGCGAGCTCAATTATGCAAGCTTACATAAGCAAAATAATACCCTCCTCGGAAAGCGGCGGGTTGATGTTGGTAAGATCTGAAGGAACTTATTTCATGATTACCTGATTTAACAAACTAAACTGATCACCGCTGTCCGACACCCACCTGCGAAGCTCGACATTTGGAACAAGCTAGAGCCATCGGACACTAGCTAATCAAGAGTCACCGACCTAACATACTATCTCTGGCTTCTTCATTTCCGTAGATAACCGTAGGCGTCCAGACAAGGTCAAATTCACGGCCTATCCTGATGGATGTAGCCTACAGCTTCCATGTTGGTGCCTGTACTGTTGCATGTTGCGCCGTCGTGTTAGCAACTCGCTGCGGAGGTATCTGCATTGGCAGAAATGTTTGTCGTCTGAATACGCGGATTGGACAGTGTGTTTCGAGGCATAATCATCATCACCAACAGCAGTACGTCAATCATTTGTACTGGTGCTTCCCTGTGGTACAACCACGGTGACCTACGAAAGAAAGAATAATAAGAGGGAGAGAAGAAAGACCTAGTGCAAAAGCTTAAAGCCATGAGCAAACATGCAGGGTCAAGGTGCCTACACCATGGCAGCAACACTCGTACGAACAACTGGCTATTGTGCAAAGATAAGGTGGAATTAACAAAACAGCTTCCTTGAGGTTTTAACTGCCCCATGTCATAAACATTCTTACCTGACAGAGTACTCTGCATCAAACACACTTTAAACAGGCAGTTCGACTAGAATAAAGTGGACGCACCACTGGTGCCGACAGTGAGCCATGCCCTGTAACGTCTCGAGCCAAGCACAAAGTGGGTCACGTGGACTCCAGTCGGGAATAGAAGACGGATCAACAACGCCCAGTTTAGTCGTCATCAACTTGATTTCCCGTTACCAAGTCAACTTTTGCCCATCTCGAGCCCTGCGCCACTCTACATGTGGCACGCAAAACAAGAACCTCTTCGATAAATGGTGAGCGGGCATAAGCAGTACGTGCCCAAGCTAACGCAACTTAATGCTATCTGTTCTTCTAAGGAACTAGGTTGAATATCATTGCCTATTACTCCCCTACGCACACCATCGTTGCGGATACGCTGCTGTCATCCGATACCAGCTATGCTTCGCAGACAAAGATGACCAAAGACTTGAATGCGCCTCAGATAATCAGATCAGAAGGTACAAGTCTCACTCACATAGAGCAAGACGGTCCTCACTGTTGTCTTGTAAACACAGCATTCCAGACCGGTGGAAAATCCTTTCTGACGCCAAAGACGTCGCAGATACAGGAAGACAGCTCTAACTCTTCCAATACGTGAGCAAGCTGTTAGACCAAAATGCGAAGCAAGGAATTCCTCCAATGCAGATAGCAGGTGGACCTATAATGACCACGAAGAATGCAGGGAATGCTCTGCAACTGCAATATCTAACCTTTAGGCGGGTTCAGTGGTCCCTGACACTATAGCAAGTGTTGCCTCAGCTCCAAAACTCGCATACTCGTTACGACAGAAACTGTACTGAATACGTTGTTGTGTAGATGCAAGCACACCTCTCCCGGAGTTGACAACATTCACCGAAGTAACCTGCGGTGATTAGAGAGAGCTCAGCTGACGCTTTGTCTCGATTCTTTCACCGTTGTTTTTGACGACATATATGTACCCGATGTGTGGAAATACGGGATGATAACCCCAACTCACAAGGGAGGTAGTGGTTGTAATTCAGCAAACAACCGTTCTGTAACCCTTCTAGTGTTGCTTTCCAAGATCATGGGAGCCATTGTGGCCGATGTGCCAACGACATACCTGGAAGAATTCACTTACTTTGCAAGGAAGAGCATAGGTTCCGACGAAATCGAACGTGGACTATAAAAAGAGTGCTAGCATGATCTACCTGAATTGAAGCAGTAAACACTGGTGTGGGAGTGGATGTAGTTCATCCCGATTTCTAAAGGGCATTCGATCGGTTAAATCATGGCAACCTTATTAAAATCTCCAGAGCTTCAGCATTGGTGTTCTCGGAGGGTCACTCCACAAACTGGTTCAGTTTAATTCGTCTAAGTGCAAGGTGGTCCACACTCGTCACCAGCTGAACATCATTTACAAGCTTGGAGACCATGTGCTATAAGCAGACACCCAGGAACACGACCTTTGGGTACTAATCCAGGTTGATTTAGGATGTTCAGAATAATTTGAGAAGGCATTAAAGACTGGAAACCAACACGTTGGGATGCTTCAGAGGACATTCGCAGTTGCGTAAGACATAAGTGCGGCCTCATATGGAATACGCAACCCAGGCGTGACAGCCAAGCAAGACCTAGCAACACTTGAGACTCCACAGCGAAGAGCCACAAAGTATATCAAATAAAGGGTTGTACCATCTTCCATATCAATTTGGGCTGAGGACCCTAAGATTGTACAACGCCGATATCGACATCTACGTGGCAACGTTATTATGGCCTACCAGATTTTGTGGAACCCAAACCACGTATCCCGCCATCACCTACTGTAACGCAGTCATGAAATGAATTCGAGGGGCCACCAACTCAAGCTCGCCACGCAATACAGTCGGTTAGAATGTCGAGAGAACTTTTACTCTCTTCGTGTGTGCCAGCCATGGAACGCCCTCTTAAATTACGTTGTTTCCGTCCCCATTTTATCTGCGTTTAAAATACGCCTTGACGATGACCTAACCCACCTACACTTCCAGATGTAGCTTGCGTACATCGACAGAGGATATAACGTGACAAACGTTTCACAACCTGCACTAACCTAGACAATTAAGGTTGGTTCCTTTCTGCACGCCTCTATCTGAAAACTGTGGTGAGTCTACCAAAAGGATTTTCATGTTATTACTTGTTTTATTCTCACCGTTGCGGTTCTCATTCTGGCCATCCTACGGGAATCATTAAGCATCCGCTATTTTACACGTAATATACCATTGTGCAATTGTTTCTCCTCCACCGGCACTTAGAAGTAAGAGTACGTGAAACTGCATCAGATCCCATCCAAGTTGAATGAGGAGTACGACAGGGATTGGTACTAATACTACGGTTATTTTTGATGTATATCAATGATATCACGCAACTCATAAGCTTGAACTGTCTGCACTATTTCGAAAGAACAAGAAGAAACCGCATTTCAACAGGATATACTGAATTCAGTAATTTCGTGAGTGTTCCTCACGAAATTACTGAATTCAGTATATCCTGTTAAAATGTGGTTTCTTCTTGCGTTTTTGAAATTCGTGAAGGGAAATGCTTGTATGTCTGCTCTATGTCGATGAAAGTAAGGTACTGAGAGTGATAAATACACCAGGCGTACGTAGTTAGATACTCCGTTGTATGGAATTGACTGCCACGAGCGAGCCAGTCAGTCAGTGCAAAACTGAGTTAAATCAATTTCATAAATAAACCCCATTTGAGTCAGAAGTAAGCAAGTGCGCGAAGAATATTCTTTTCGATAATTCTCATCAGGCGAGTACAATTATGAAGCAAAACGTTTGGAGAGAATAAAGCACGTAGAGGTCTGTACAGAGAGCAATCAACTCATTAACTGGGCAGTATGAAAACTAAATCAATGATTTGATCAATCGGATTGTCGCATTAGGAATCAGGTGATCAAGGAAGGTCAAGTTCAAGGCCAAGGCAATTTCAGAGCCTGTAACAGTGTGCGCTGTTTGCACAGCTCTGGTTTTAGAACTGATATCAGAGCTGTGCAAACAGCGCACACTGTTACAGGCTCTGAAATTGCCTTGGCCTTGAACTTGACCTTCCTTGATCACCTGATTCCTAATGCGACAATCCGATTGATCAAATCATTGATTTAGTTTCATATTGCCGTTAATGTTGATTGCTCTCTGTACAGGCCTCTACGGGCTTTATTCTCTCCAAACGTTTTGCTTCATAATTGTACTCGCCTGATGAGAATTATCGAAAAGAAT